TCCCACGACTTGTTGCGTGGTAAACGCGGCTCCATAACTCCGTTCAGAGAATGGCTTTGCAGATTTTGAAGGCAGATTCAAGATCAGCGTCCAAAACCACGTCTAGTGATCTACATCTCATCACAAATGGCCACTTCGACCTGACGACCTTCCCTAGTCAGTGAGCAAATACGACCACCTTCGTTGGGGAATCCCCAACGATATTGTGATCTACCCTCTCCACTAATCGACCATGCTATGACATATTTTGCGGCATACTTTCCTTTGACATCGAAGAGTTCTAAAAGAGCCCCATCTATTCGCTACAAGACATTCAACAGAATATTACGATCTCATAAGGGCACAAAACGCGTCTAAGAAACAATAAGCAAAAAATTTATTATAGTTATGCTAGACATAGAACTATCACGGGCAACAATCACTCGTACATAGCTTAACCGACGTATCACAGCAATATGAGAAGATGAGCAATTTACTCACAAGTGCTCCGGTGAAACAGGAGGAGCTCGTTCGGTGACATTATGAGGAGGGCGATGACCAGTTTTATGATAACGACCGCGGTGATGAGGATGGCGTTTTGGACCAGAGCCTGAGTAAACGTTACCTCGGCGTTCCTGGCTCGATTCGCCAGCTACATCAGCTCCCTGCTTACTTGTAAGTGCTGAGGGCGATATACCATGGCCTGGACCTTCACTATCGACAGTGCCTGCTTGGTTTTTATCACTATGGTGTTCACGACGACCTCCTCCTCTATTTCCTCCTCTGTAATGACCATCATGGAACCGCCTGCCCCGTCCTCGACCGCGATGAGTGTTACCGCCCCGTTGGTGCTGGCTATGGGGCGGTGGATTAGCCGGTAGCACATCTTCAAATCCTGGGGGAGCGTCCGATGTCACGCTGGAAATAAGCAAAAATTCTATACTGCAATACTTGTAAAACTTGTAAAGAACATTAGTGAATCAGAGGTCGCTGGAACAAATACTACTTCAACCTCGATAAAAACATATACCGCAACCCTGAACACCTACACACGGTCAGTTTATCACGCCATCACGCCAAATACACACTCGGGGCACACCGTTGCGTTGGGGACTTCGGACGAGTAAGTACGATCCTAAAGGGCTCGGTACGATCCTTTGGAAATCGTGAAAATGAAGGTTTAGACAAGCATGAGCGTTTACGAAATTCTCCAACTTGACCCCGCTGTCCAGAACGCGCAACATTTGAGTCGATATCAAGGTCCCGTAGTGAGAAAGTTGGCAAACTGCCATTAGCTGCCAAGTAGGAAGAACAAGTGAACGTGAGAGGGCGTAGACAGGTAGCACATTTGGCTATAGTTAGGCGTATGCGTGGTCGATTGGCACGCGGCAGGAAAGAGAAAGTGGTACAGACATTTCCCACACCAGTTTAGAGCTGTTGTGTTGCTAGTTGCGACCTTTACCAAGGATTACTGTATAACGATAACTTACTGTGCAGGCTCCACCTCGTCATTCGTTTGTACTGGTCCGGATATGGATGGCTCAGTGATCAGGTTTTCCAGTTCCCTCGTCAGTTCTACCACCTAAATCGGTAACTAATGAAAAAGCACCATCAGCCTTGTATGTAAATCCAGATCGATTGTTTTTTTCCTACACTGTGCTCAAAACCTCTCCCCTCCCCCGTGAACTTCGTAAACAGCCATGAGTATTAATTGCTGCTAAAGATTTACATTTTCTTACCGTGTCCTCAGTGATAAGATTTTTCTTCCTCTCTTCTTCAAGGTCGATAATACCACCTTTTTGCTTCTGCCTCTCATAAATAGCCATTAGAGAAGCTTGCTGTTGCCGCCATCTGAAAAGCATTTTCTTCATGTTTACTAGCTGTCCCGAAAAGCCACCTGTAACCCAAGGGATAGCGATGTATTTTGCAACTATTCAAACTATTCTCATATGAAAGCGAAGAAAGTTTGGGATTAAAAAAGAATTCCTAGCCGTGAACCCATAACCCACCGTTCCCAGTCGAACTCGAAATCTGTGTGCGATCCTTGTTGGACAAGGCGGCGCGCTGGCGTGGTCTCGCGCTCTTTCAGGCTAGCACGCCTTCTCCGACCAGGTGGTGACGGTTGAAGAATGGGCTCCACCTCTTCTTCTATCACCACTCTACAGACAGGACATCGCAGAGACTGAATGAAAATGCGTGACGGCGCGAGTTCACCTTCTGGAAATTCGTCAGTACCTACCCTATCGACGTCATCACACATCTTGAAGCCTCTAGCAGCAAGTTTCTCTCCTAACTGTTTCCGAGTGTGTTCAGCATGCAGTTCAAGGCACTCAGTATGGGCGTAATGGTCACATGGTGTAGCGGAGACACCAGCTGAAGTCAATGGGCATAGACAAATCGGACAGGCTAACGATGATGAGTGTTGATGCTCCAGAATAAAGTCAGCACAGTGCTAAATATCACAGGATATTCAACAAATACTGGAGACTTTCACATACAATCGAGCCATACATGGAATGGGAGCAATCAACTCCTCTAATGTACCACCTAAAAAAACCAGAATTGAGAATGAAAACTTTACCTGCAAAATATCGAACACAACAGGAGCTCCAACGAAGTTCGCGGAGTCGTTGGGATACTTCTTCAATGAGCTGATGGTGCGACTGTTCAGATATCCCCCTCGGATTGGAAAGCCGAACCTTTGGTGACACCTCCGGATACTACAAATTAAAAATGGTATAAGTCAACAGCAGATAAAGTATTGAGAATGAAACTGAGGAAAGCAAACCTCCGGTCCTAATTCGAATTCTACAACTATCGAAGCAGACGAAACACCCTCCTCATCATTGGGTCGAACCTTTTTGCGCACTGTCGTGAGTGACCGGTCATGGCTATAACATTAATGAGTGAATTTCCCAATAATTTCTCCGAACTCGGTCATTTTGAGTCCTCAGCATACAGTGTTGTTCGCTGTGAATGATGGGCGTGTCAGAGGATGGGTTTGGGAGCGGCACCAGCCGCTACTTTTCTTTTTTCTTTCGGCAAGCGACAAGACTAAATCATATTATTTGAATGGTTGTTTTCCACCAATTAGTCGCTTACCCGCTCCTAGAACTGGTGGAAGAACGGGGCGTGCCAAACAGAACCTCAATGACACGCCCCATTATCGGCAGCGAACAAGCTTGACGTAGGTTGTCCATCCCTAGTTTCAGAAATGAAACACAAGAAGCTGTTGCCATCTCCCCTACACACGTTTTATAGTCATTTAATCTTCCATTTGCAGAAAAAATGTCAACACTCACGAAATGTCACCCTAATCTATGGCTAACGTTTTGCAAAATAAGTGCAAAGGCCTAGTATTACTGATATGGCAGACGTGTTTTTTATTCAGCTGAATCCCAAGCGGAATATCAAGCGAAAATACTTACTCTCGATTTCTGGAACCACCAACAATTAGCCCACTGAATTAAGATGCTTTCCTGAGAAAAAGCTGGAACCAAGCTTTTCGAGCCAGTTTTAAGACAACGAGGACAGAAATTTCTCAGAAGAACAGCCACTAAAGGCGCGAATTGCAGGGGAGCACTCAGCAATGTCTTTGTTTCCTTTTCCCAAACCGAAGCCTAACCAATGGTAGAGACCGTGTCTTCCCTGAGAGGCTTTGGTCATCTAAGCAAGAGCTTTAGTTAAGAGAAGGAACTCAGAAGCACCGCCGAGTGTTCCCCCTTACCGCCTCCCCAACTACGATGGCGCTCGCGAAAACGCTTTCATTACTATTGTTAATTCCGGAACGATTACTCACAAACATGAGGTTACAGGGCGTAGCTGGCCATATTATATTTTTGACTCCAAAGTGCCATACCGAGTCACCTGGTTAGAATACTAGCTGACTTGCGCGCAATGCCACGCCGCGATTCAGATGTGTTGAACAACAGGTGTTTGCCGCGAGTCCCAAGTGCCGGCGAAAGAGGAGCTGCAAGCGGAGTCACGTACACTGCTACAGGACCTGACCGCTTCGATGTAACAATGCTGTGCTATGCAAGTATGCTTCCAAGCACGGGCACAGATCGAAAGGGACCCGCTCACCGTCACACACTCCTATCTTCCATAGCACGCAGCGAAGCGTCGTAATTCCCGTCAAAGATCTTCCTTCCCATCTGTTCCATGCCGAGGTTACAGCCTTATATTAAAAACGCTGACTAGATAACGCGGTAGCGATTGCTAAATCCTATTCTGCCCACTACCCTTATCCTTCCGCTCCCACCAGCAGTTTATATGGCATTTTGTCAGACGGAGCGGATGAGACTGGCACGCTTCACCACGCCACCACTAGTCCCGAAATTCCCGAATCGCTTCCTTCAAGCCTTCCTTAACCCATCCCGAAGAACAATAAATACTCTCACTTTTTCCCGGGAGGCAAGAGCATGAACTGCTCACATCGGCTTGGTCCCGCAGCAAATCATATTATAGCCCTTCGCCATCCAAATAAAGCATTGTCGTCAGCTTCTACGACAATGTATGAATGCCACCAGAAACTGTCAAACCGGAGGCCTTCTTCCTCAGCCTCCTTTTCCTCTCTCTTCCCTCTTCTTTATTCAATCCTCTAATGCTCAGCAAAAAGATGCGAATAATAAAACACCCTAACCCTAGCACGAAGAGAGCGTCCGATTGACAGATTCCACCCCACCGAGAGGCTGCCCGCCCATTATAAAAAGGATCTGATCGTCGAAGATTCTGTCTCAAGTTTTATCGTTTGGACATGACCGCGTCTGGATATGCCTGTTGATTTTTATACAAGCAAGCGCCCATACTTTGCAGTCAGGGTCACCATTTGCGTGTAAACAGTTCCAAATAAGCGACTAATAAAAAAAAGCAGGAAAATGTTAGTTTTAAGAGCGTTGAAATAATGACCCTAAAAAGTTAAGCATGCGTGTCGATTGGACGCAGTTCGAAGTTCTGCGTGGTTCTCCCAATCTACACTTCGCCGCCTCGGAACTTCTATAAATCAGGTATATCAATGCAGAAGCCACTCATAACTTGTCAAACATCGGGATCCTTCGGGATTAAACAGGACAGGAGGCGTCAGCCTCGCTCTGTTGACTTCCGTCCCTCGTTCAACCAATCGATTTCAGCCGCTTGCAGTGGATTTCTGCGTAGATTGCGAAAAACTCCGCCGCTTCGTTTCATATGGAGGGGTTTTTTCACTTATTGATCGCGACGCGCCTAATAAAGGCGGAATTCCACGCCTCTTCTACCGTGTAATACTCGGATAGCGCGCTACATTATGACTCGGGACCAGCGATGTACCCCTTCAACTACACTCCTCAACCGGTGATAAAAATATCTGCCAGGCTTTTTGAAAAAAAACAATTGTTTTACACAACTCAACCCTCTCAGGTCGAAATAATCATTCTCGTGGAACCTTTTTCGAAATGCAAGCAAGGATTCCATGCACTTACTTGGAGTTAACCGAGATCTCATCGCCAAAAATCGATCGCAATGCTTCAATTTCAGCGTCTGCTTCCATCTGCAGTACTAGTGTCTCATCAAAGTTAAAAGATGTTAAGAAACAGCTGTATGAAGCGAACAAAACCTTCATATCTCAAGAGCATACACCAATAATGATACATTTATTAACAGTCATATCAGTACATGATGTAGCATAACAAACAATACAGAAGTTTTATGAACAGAACAAAAGAAGGAAAAGGAAGGAAGGAAGAGAGTCACTTCCGGAATGGAAGAAAAAGCGAAACAACGGGACTGCAACTAGAAAGCACTTACCTACGATGACGAGGTTCATCTCATACCCATGCTCCTGTCGTTTTGATCATCGGCCGCCGGAAAGCGTCGCGGATATGCTCGAATGTTGAACAGAAAACAAACGCACCTTTCACTTCCAGACATCAAGGAAAACCTGAGTGCGACCGCCGGCGAAATCCAGTCGAAGCAACCGTTGTAATTAGAAATTTGTATAAACATACCTGCCTCTTTTTCTCTCGATTACAGGAACAGTCCAAGGTCAAAAGTCCTTTGACGAACGTCCATTAAGACCGATAAAGTAAAAGGGTCGAAAAAAAAAGATGAATATTGAGTCGTCCCGTGGGGGAACTCAGAGTGCTAAGGAGCAAAAATAAGAGAAGAACAATGGAGAATTTCTAAACTGATGATGACGGATTCAATAGAAAGGGAGACTTTAATCACTTCAATCCAAATCTCTCCAAGCGAGCCCGCTTCTTCTGCTCTATCTCATCCTAAAAATGAAATTGGGACATATCGTGCTGAAGCCAGAATCTCAGCACAAGTAGGAACATCAACTTACATCGAGAGCTGCACCAGTTTTTACTGCAACCGGCTTAGTTTGAACTTTGACTGGGTCCTGAAAAGAATCAGCTTGTGAAAGACACGCACAGTCAACAAATCTGTTT